AACAAATATGTCTCAGTAACCATAAATCTTCAATGTCTATAACAATGGGACTCCAGACCAGCACAAGAGTTGATGCAAGTGGATCCCGATGCAGGATTGCAGCATTCTTAATAAACATTTTTTTTTGGTTTAAATTGTTTTTTTTCAAAATTCTTTAAAATACACTGATAATTCCACTTACAAGCTACTCACCATAAGAATCATATGTTTCCTCACTAAGTCCATGTCCATAATCATAGTAATCTGTTCCACTGTATGAAAAAAAAGACAGACAACGTAAGTAATGCCGTTAGAAATGTAGTGTTAAGCAACATGTCTTAAATCATGATGGACTAGATTCACAAGGGACTTAGGCACTTTGCCTTTTTAGGTGCCAAAGTCCCTCATTTAGGTGGCAGTGACATTCAAAAAACCATTGTTTAGCTGCCACCTGATGCTGTCGGTGCCTAAGTTTCTGCCAGAAGGCATGCAAAATCATCTAAATCTTGACACTGCACAGCTGCTCGGTGCCCTAGCTTATTTTACAGGGACAACATCCCACAATGTTCTTATGGTCCATACGTTCATAACTATGTATAACCTTTTGTATGATTATTGCTTTAAAAAATATTTTACATGTGATCAAATGCCTACGGCAGGGGTAGGCAATCTATGGCACATGTGCCGAAGGCGGCACGCGAGCTGATTTTCAGTGGTACTCACATTGCCCGGGTCCTGGCCACTGGTCTGGGGGGCTCTGCATTTTAATTTAATTTTAAATGAAGCTTCTTAAACATTTAAGAAACCTTATTTACTTTACATACAAAAATAGTTTAGTTATTTGTTATAGACTTATAGAAAGAGACCTAAAAATGTTAAAATGTATTACTGGCACACGAAACCTTAAATCAGAGTGAATAAATGAAGACTCAGCACACCACTTCTGAAAGGTTACTGACCCCTGGCCTATGGGATATTTGCAGGACACTAAGCAACAAATAAGAAACACCATTTAAAATACAAAATGGGTGATTGTGGTAGTTTGGTATCCAGTAGCCAGATAAATCCAGAGCCAGTGTGGAACACATGGCTATTTGGAAAGTAACTAAATTACAAACTGCTACAACCAAAGCCTTGTCTTCACTAGGAAAAAAGGCTGTGTTCTTATCTTATGTTGGCTAACAAGTGCTAACTAACACAAAGTAAAATCCAAGTCAAGACAACGCAATTTGTAGTTTTAACAGGAGTTCACAGGTAGAGGTAAACGCCAGGCTCTCACATAATCTTTTTATGTACAGAGTAAACAATACATGTATTGCAGTTGCATTTAACTTGCAGAAAGAACTACTGAGCTGAGACAGGTAATGAAATAGAGTTGTCAAATTTGGAAAATACCTGGGCCAAAAGTGTAAAAATTCTGACATGCAAATACAAAACAATAAGAGCAGTGAATGAGTCTCTGTTATTGCCAGTCTAAAGCTGCCTGAACTAAAAATTCTACTAGTGTCTGCACTGTAAAATTCTGAAGACCTATATAAGAGCTAAAATTCTCATCTATGGTTTGTCAGCCCACGTGATACAGACCTGTATATTAAGGACAAAAATGTGAAGCATACGAAGTAGCATAAATTTGTCCTGCAACAGTTCAGTGATAAAACAATCTTAGTTTTGACAATCAAGAACTTTAAATTGACATTCTCTATCATTTCACACAGCATCAGATTATTTATTGTAAGACTGTCATCAAGTCTAGAGGTCTATAGCAGCTGAGCCCCATCCCTGTGCCTGTCAATCCTGTCAGAATTACTTTTGCAGTGTTTCATTTCACAGACCTAAAATGTCTATTAAACAAAAAATGACTCACATTTTATGGCATGTAAACTGCAAAACCAATAAACACTGGAAGGGAGAAAATCACTTATTTGCATTATAAGTACATCAAAATTTAACTTTATTACCTGACAGACTGTTCAGCATTAATAATCAGGTCAAATAATAATGTAAAGTGCTCAAAGTTGCTTAAGGAAGTGCAATGCTCTCTCTCTCTTCCCTGCACCCTCTCCTCTCATGCTCTATAACAAAGTAATGCTGCTAAGCCCTTGCATGACTGACTTCTGTCTGAACTTGAGAGTCTATAAACAAATATGAAATTTTACACAAGAGGGCAATGGAATGTTTGTAACACAGTGAACATATTTTGTGTAAATGGTTGTAGGGAGGACTGAGGAAAGGAGCAAATATAAAAAACGGTAAGACTACCTATATATCACAGGCCTTCCTATAATTGGAGCCACGTGAAATTCTTTTATTTTTAGAATTTTTTCATTTTATTTTTTGGGAATTTCGCGTTATTTTGTTTTATCCCCAAGCCCTCACGATCCACGCCCCCTTACCCTCTGTTATAATAACTGGGCCTACCCATTTACACGCATTGTAAACTTAATTGTAAGACATGACAGTTTATAAAATGTCATGTTAACTTATAACGACAAATGGAAAAAAGGTGCAAAAGGGACACAAAAAGACTAAATTAGTCCAAACAAAAAGGCCTATTGATATAACTCAAGGACTGAGTTAACATCATGTCTGGTAAACAAGAGAAGTGTTGGGACCAGAAATCAATGAACAATATGAGGTCTAATTAATGAACAAAATAATGAGAGAATGGGCTATTCCACCTATTCATTTGTTTTTGTTAAAAGAAAAATACTTTTTGGGGAAAATTAAGGGAAGAACAGAAGCAAATGCTGGCTGACTGAAGAACTAGAAAAGGGAAGGAGGGAGCTTCACCATGACAACTGTCACTCCCACAGTTTCATTGGACCCCTGACCTTCTTTGTCCTAATCCTGAGAAATGTCCTGACCAGGCTGGGCCAGAGAGAGGGAGCCAAATTTCATTGTCACTCCACTGGCTCCGGCTAAGTCTCCAAACACCACCTGGGAAGTGAGACTTTGCCATCCCCCTCTCCATGTGTCCTTTTTCCTTCCCCACCTTATTTCCTTTTCCTTGTGTCTAAGAGGAGTCTGGCTTAGCTGGCCAAGACTGTATATTTTGCAACACTGCTGTGAGCCTTTGACCAGAAAAAGGCAGCTAAATGCAATTCCCTGAACAGCCCAACATTGGTACAAGTTTGCCAGGTCTCAATATGGCTAATAAGATCACATGCTGTGCTTCTCCAGCAGTGAGGCTGCAAGTGAGTCAGCACCAGAGACAGAGGCTGCATTTTCTATCTTTGCTGTTCTCTTCTTTCCCCTCTTGTGTGTGTTTGTCTTGCTTTGTCTTCTAGAAAACAGGACTGGACTTCAAATAACAACAGCAACAATGATAGCTCCAGCCCATTTCAACTAACTTTTTCTCATTTCCCTAGAAAGGACAGTTATTGCCATTTTAAATACCACCGAAAAGACTGCAATATGGGGTAGGGTGAGGGGAGGGTTTCCTTTTAAAAACTCTAAACGCTAAAGGGAAAGGGAACACGGGTTGTTAGAATAAAATTTACTTAATACTCTAACTGTTTTTCTCTCTTTTCTGTATCTTTAATTAAAGATTAAAAGGAATTTTAATGGTGTGTTTGTCAATGGTTCTAAGCAGGCTGAGGGCTCTGTATACAAAATCCTGAATCTTGTTTAACACTGTTAATGTTGGACATTGACAGGGTCATGGTAACACCTTTGACTCCTTGGGCCTCTTTATAACATCTACATTAATATAGTACCTCTCCCCCCAACAACCCTGACTCCACCTGCCCCCCCAACCCTTGCCCCTCTGAGCCTTAGACATCCCTCCCCTGCCTGCCTCGACTCCTCCAACCTCTGCCTGAGGTCCAGGCACCATCGTCTCAATACCCAACCCGTGTCCTGACTCCTCTGCAGTGATGCCTAGTGCCCAGCCAGGACTCATCACTCCATCCCATGGAAGGAGGGGAAAATGCAGTGCCACGACTCCCTTGATGGTCGTGCTCAGGAGAGGTTGAGCACCCGCTCTCCCTAGCTCCCTCACCACAATGGCTGCCTCACTCAGGTGTCTGTCTCTCTCCTGCACTCTTCATGCGGCTGCCAAATCCTCCTGCCAGCCCTGTCTCAGTACGCACAGTACACATGCACCATGAATGCATGTGAATGCATGTGATCCCGGCAGGCCCTTCCCCAGGCTGGTGCACTCCGTAAAGTGATCTATTAGCTCACTGTTTGTACCTGTGGGTGCTGACACTGGCCACTGAATCTCCCACGGTTAATAAGAAGCTTTGTCTTTTCGTTTTTTGTTTTCATTTTATATGTAGTTTTTTTGTTTTATTTCTGGTTATTGTGTATTTGAGAAAAATATGGGGCTCTACCTCTATAACTGCAGACTCTAAGCAATGCTTGAATTCAAAAGCTAACACCCCGTATTTTCTTGGATTAATTAGTATATATCCATCCTCTTTGGAAGCATCTCATATAAAATATGAAGGTACTAAAATCACCTACAGAAGAACTGTCTCATCCAGGAGCGAAAGATTTAGTTTTTGATAACTTTCCTTTTATAGATATTTACTTATAGATCAGGGGTCGGCAACCTACGGCACGCGTGCCAAAGTTGGCATGCGAGTCGATTTTTCCTGGCACGCGGCGTGGGCTGCCGGCTCCTGCCAGCTAGGGTCCCGCCACGGGTTCAACTCAGCACCTGCTGCTGGCCTGGGGTTCCTTCCCCCAGGCTAGCAGCGAGCTGAGATCCCAGCTGGCAGGAGCCTGCAGCCGAAACCCCAGAGCGGGGGTCGGGCTGAGCCGCTCAGCCCGCCCTGCTCTGGAGTTCCCGCAGCTGGTCCAACTCAGCACCCACTGCCAGCCTGGGTGAAGGAACCCCAGGCTGGCAGTGGGCTGAGATCCCAGCTGGCAGGAGCCTGCAGCCGAAACCCCAGAGCGGGGGTCGGGCTGAGCCGCTCAGCCCGCCCCGCTCTGGAGTTCCCGCTGCTGGTCCAACTCAGCACCCACTGCCAGCCTGGGTGAAGGAACCCCAGGCTGGCAGTGGGCTGAGATCCCAGCTGGCAGGAGCC